TTCTGATGTATCCTCACTGCGACGTTGCGGAGAGGGACGCTAAGCACATAGTTCGGTTTGCGTTATTTCATCCTCCAAGTGGAACGGACTATATCAAGTAACGCAGGTTTGAAGGACGTGACTGTATGGTCGTGCCAGGACTCATTTCATGGCAGAAGCTAGACAATGATCCATTTCCAAGGTGGACATTGGAGGGCGGTAAACCATTGCTAGTAAACACACATCATCATGTATTAGGTGCATATGACACCAAAGAGAATCGATGACTTTCGTTTCTGGGTCCTCAATGATATCAACGGGCAGGTCGGATCGATAATACAGAAGCACTCTCCCTCCTCTGCTAGGTCGATCGTTTCCTATGGATGTCTTGCCGGGTACTGCAATCTCAGCACCCATGATCTCCGTGTTCAGCCATGTTTCGGTGACCATAACTAGGTCCCAAGGCGTGGAGACCTGAAGAATACGAAGTTCGGTTAGCTTGCTGAGAAGACCTTGTGCATTGGTATACAAGCAGGTGAGGGCATCGGTGGTCAGAAGCGTGTTTGTGAATGCTGGTTACTGGTGAGGGTCTATGTCGACCCCTTGCGGGGTCGGATGCCGGTCGTTTTTGCAGGACCGATGACGCAGGCCCTAGGGCCAGTTCAGGTTGTTGTATAGAGCTCTCAGCGCCAACAAGAGAGTAAGCAGGCTGTCCTCCTTCAGTTACCGGTTTGTTTTGGCATTGTTTCCGTTCTGAACTACACGGTGACAGAATTGTATTGGTAAGTTTCTTGCTCAGTGTTACGTTGTCTATCTGTAGCCCGGTGCCTATTGCCTTTATACTTATTCCCGATAGCTGCATTTTACGCCTTTTGTGCCACACTTTGATCGCATGTTCTCCCATCGCTTCGCAGTGCAATGTTGCTTTTATCACTCGGGGACTACACACTTTGTAGTTAGGTAATAGCAGTAACCTTAATGTCGAATTAGCGATATAATTTTCAAGTGAAAGTGCTTCACGAATGAACAATGAACAATGATTTATCAAGGGATCAAAGCAAGTGCTTGACACGTCCCGTAGGATGGTTGAGGTGAATATGATGAAATCAAAATATGTCTGGGTCATCTACCGAACGTCTGCCGAGATGAATAGTTTGATAAGTAACATCAGTGTAAAATTAAAACAAATTATCGAGCGTAAACGTTCAGAAAGACACTGGGGTGCAGTGATCATTGAGGTAAAGAGTGAGCAAAGTAAAATATGGTCGCTCACTTAGATTCGTTCGATACATAAATCCTGTTGTAATGCATCCTTGGCGTAATCCACAGTAGGGGAGTTTAGGTAACAAAATGTTGGGAGCTAAGAGCAACATCTAATCGTTTTTTGAAAACATCCAAGGTAGGAGAGGATACAACTGAGTCTGGGAGTGCGTGCCAGGGTTTGCAAACCCAAAGGGAAAAATAATTCCTCCGACACTCTAGACGGCTATATTGTTCCTTCAATTTTAAGCAGTTAACCCTGAGCTGCGTGTTGTGGCTAAGTTTCAGCAAATGGCGGCATACGTGGTTGGGGTCCCTCAATATTTGATACGCTAATATGAGATCACCGCGCAGTCTTTGATAGCGCCCGCTGAAAATTCCCAGCAACTTCAGCCTTCGGTGGTAAGAGTGATAGCGCAGGCCCTTTACATTTTTTGTTGCTCTCCGTTGTGGTGCCTCTATCGCTTCTAGGTCACGCTTCAACCAAGTTGCCAAGTTTGGATAGCGTATTCAACATGCGGGCGCACGTAAGAATTGTGCATCATTGGGAAGATTGATGGGTCAAATCTTCCGAATGCTCTTCGCAACATGCCGACATGCTGGTTGCCTCTTTTCGCAGCAACCTCAGCCTGTTTTGAACAGTTGAGGTCGCTCTGTACGATCACACCCAGGTCACGTTCCTGGGAGCTATTCTGCAGTCTTTTGGTCCCAAGTGAATAGGTGTAGTTATGACGATGGCGTAATTGTACGACGCGACATTTGTCTACATTGAATGAAACCTCATTCATCTCGCCTAATGTCTGGAGCGCTGGGACACCGTGAACAAGGCTAGAGTTTGCGTCTTGTTGTCTACGGATGTCATCCGGATTTTGTTTGCGTTTCTGGCGTCAACTCCAAGGAACATCTGGAAAAATTTGAAAAGTGCATGTGGTGGTAGAGAGACGAGTGGCTGACAAGCGAACTGCCTCTGCATCAGTACCTGACTGGAGTAACTGCGGTTCATCGTACTGTAATGAGTTTGGGTGACGGACGAGACGCATCATATCGACTGGTTTAGCTTGAAGCACTATTAGTTGACACAGGGAGTACCACTGTCTTTTGTCGTCTAGTATCTTATCTTTTAAGGAATTTGCCCCATATTCAGTCACAAGACAGCATATAACAGTCAGAGAATTATGGTAGTGTTTCAAGTTCTCCTTTTTGGAGGGACCAGTGGCTGCTTTCTTCGGATGGACAAATGATGGTTCTTGAACCCCGTGGTGGTATTGGTAGCAGTAAGTCATTTGATTACGGGCGGGGTTACGGTGTGAGGTGCCTCCGTCATATGGGTAGCAACAACGGACGCGTATGTTGTCGGGCCTTTAACAGTGTTCAGTGTGGCAGGTGATTCTGTTGAAGAATGTGTGGCGAACGCATCTTTATGAGCAGCCGCTAGTGTCGGGGTGGCTAACTCTGGATCGTTACTCTTTCACTGTTCTGAACTGGAGCGTGATGTGGAAAATCGAGTTCGAGGAGCTGATGTGTCTGGTTTATGTGGTACAGCTTTCCCTGCTGCTGCCAATTCTACACTCTTTGTCAGCCTATCGCACTTCTGAGCCAACACAGTTATACATCTGACGAGTGGAAGAGATGTACACTCAGTGCAGAACCAGAGAGAATCGGTAGCATTATTAAGTGTTTTCCATCCGGCTGAGACTAAGGCGAGCATATCGAGAATGAAAGTATTTTCGGCAGTTTCTGCATTCTATTCTAAATCGCACAAATTTTACATAGCTGTCTACGCCACAAGTAACGTTCAATTCGGAAGCTTTGGGTTTAGCTTTCCGTGAGCAAGCACTACGTGCCATTATGACTGTCAGATTTGCGAAGTCGTTCGTTTGCAACTTCTACACTGGTATGCTTAATCCAAACGCTGTCTGTCAAGCTGGTTGTCTGACAGACACCGGTTAGATTGTTATAGAACAAATCCAAGATGGCGGACACAGACGGCAGTTGGGCCAATCACTGTGCTCTCCGACAGCAGCCGGAGAATATCCATCAAATTCGCACAGATGGAAAAATACACCAAAAGCAATGTATTGGTGCAGAATTCACACAGAGAAAACACGTATAACACAGTATTCCAAAAGCAAAAGTAGGATCCAGCACGGTAAAACAAAAATCCGCGGCGTCCGCGTAGTAATCGATTCAAGCAAAGCGCGCCCCAGACCGTAATTAGGCAAATACAACACGCAGCACGAAACAAAGTGCATCGGGCGCAGTAATGCGACGTGGCTCACGTGACACACGAGTTAAAGCACGTGTGAGGAACTAATGATTGGTCAATGCGAGGAAAACCGAGAAGAACGCGGTGTGGCTGAACTAACAGCAATCTCATTGACGGATGTAACAGGTCTTTAGCTAGTTAATTATTTAAAGGCACCAAAACTATGGTCTGGATCGAATGGTTTACTAGCAGACGCTCCGTGGATCCACTTATCGCTTTTTTGGTACCTTTTTATTGAATAAAAAACTGCTGTTCTGCTTTACTCTGCGCAAGTGGTTCAGTCAACTACATATACGATTGTTTAAGTTCAGCAACATTTTCGTAGGTGAGACAGTTGTTTAAAACCAGTGCACACAAGTATCAACTTGCCGTAGCCAAATAAATGATACTTATTTCACAGAGGCTTTAGGATGTTTGGAGTTAACGTCAGACTGTATGATCTAATGCATCACTCGCTACCATGTCTAATCCAGCTGCCTCCACCTGGAAATACAAAAGATTTGCCCCCGGTTCGAAGGTTACTTGCTTGTGGTACTTGGCTACAAGGTCGCATCCGGTTGAGACAGCATATTGCTTGTTTAGCGGACGCTGACGACTAGTACACACAGACAGCCGAGTAGACTCAAAAGAGAGATGGACAGCAGTTCGTCATTTCCATGCCGTTTGCTAGTGTGCACCAGTTCCGGTTTAGTTAAAATGTGGAATCTGTAGCTATCTACTAACCAGGGGTTAGCAGTGATTAATGGGATAGAGTGACAGTAACGTCAGACGTGGCCGATATACTAAGCTGGGGCGCTTTAGGACTACCTGAATGTGTTCTTGAGATATTTTATCCGAATACAATCGAAAGCTTGCCGACACCTACTTTAGCATCACCATCATCATCATCAGCACCACAACCACCACCATCATCACCTTTATCATCATCATCATCATCATCATCATCATCATCATCATCATCATCATCATCATCATCATCATCATCATCATCATCATCATCATCATCATCATCATCGCAAACATGAGCGCAATCCTGCTGTTCGGAGTTGTCCTCACATTGCATTACTTGTCATCTGAAACGTCATCGCGCATCGGAATATGAAGATGTGAGCCATGTATGGCAGCTTGTTTAACTTTATGATGTGCGAAGTTGAGGTCCCAATTTCTGTTCGCGTTTTCTTTTTATGGTACGTAGTAACTGTGGCGCCAAGTTGCCAAGTAGTCACTAAGTTCTCAATGGCTATGGTCACATTCCACTGCTTTAATGTGGCTGGAATCGGAATTTTGAGTCGGTCAGCCAACATAAACAGTACCGCGTCCAGTCACTTGGTTTGTGGCTGGCTATCACCCGCGTAACAATTAAGATAATGACGGATCCATTGTGCCTAACAAACAGATGTAAAATGGTATAAAAATGATAGGATTTTCAATTTGCAGAAATTATACCACCTATCTTAGCAACACTTTTCCCACTTACCTCCACATGGGCATGAAGCAACCGCAAGCGTTGATCGATTTGCAACAAGAAGATGTCATGTGGTCCAACTTATTCAGTCCATCTGACTCACTGGTGGAGTCTGCCAAAGAAGTCTCGTTACAGCTGAATTTGATGAGCGTAACTGGGGATGATGAAGCCGAGGCGGTGGACGCATTCATGCATCGCACTTCCTCATTGGATCACCTGAAAAAATTGTCGTCTGGATTAGTTTGGCCAGGTGCGAACATCAGTGAAGTACAGGAAACAGTAAGTCTTAAAAACTTTCAAGTGCACAAAAACATTTCATCATGCATTAGCTACTGCGTACGCCGTAGTTTTATTGACGACTCAAATGTGGACCATTCAACGATACTCAGAGAAGTCTCCGCTTAATCTTTAGTGGCAAATGGGTTTCACTGTTGCGCACGTTCCGCTTAGTGTAGACTTACAAACACTGATAAACCCAACTGTGTGCATCAAGTGAGTCGCGAAGTCACGTGGTAGTGGCCAGTTGAGCGCATATTTACTCGCGAATCAACACTACTTAAAAGTCTATTTACTAACCGATAATTAGTCTATCAAGTTAGGGATGAACAACGGTGTATCAGGTGCAAAAAGGAGGTGCTTGACAACTTCAGAAGGATGGTTTATACAACATAATCAAGATAGGTAAGCCGTCTATCAAGTTGAATGTGTTGTTAAACAACCATAGTAAAAAATGAACATTGAATACAAGCATGCAAAACGACATGGGAGCAATAATACTTGACGTATTTTGGGCGACAAATATAAATAAAATACTTCGCGCGCGCTTCCTTCGGTCCATGTGATACGTAAATCCGATATGAGGACCTGAGAGAGGTGTTTCACAGTAGCGCAACTTAGGTAACCAAGTGCTGAGAGCTAGAGGTAGCATCCAGTTGTTTTACGAACATATACAAAGAAGGGGCGAGAACTGTGTTTTCGAGAGCTTTTCAAGATTGATAAACCTGAAGACAGAAGCAGTTCCGTCGGGTTTCCAGGCGGTTGAGTTGCTCAATTGATCTTGGGCAGTCATCTCTGAGCTTGGTTTTGTGACTGGCTTTCTGCAACTGGGGGCATAAGTGAATGGGGTCGCTCAATACTCGGTGCACTAATAAGAGCTCACGGCGTACCCATCGACAACATCCGCTGAAAACTCCCGGAAACTTCAGCATTCGCAAGTAAGATTAATTGCATAGACCCTTGACGTTGTGTGTTGTCCTGCGTTGTGGTGTCTTAGCATACCTAAATCGCGCTTCAATCAAGGATACCAAACTTGGATAGTGTGTACCATGTGAGGGCACACATAGGAGTTGGGCATCAAGGACATGACTGATGGGTCAAAAGTCCCAAATGCCGTCCGCAGCAGGTCGACGTGCTGAACGCCCATTTTCATAGATGCCTCAACTGTTCTAAGCAGCCTAAGGCCACTTCATCAAGGTCACATCAAGGTCACGTTCATGAAACTGATCCACTATATGTGTGCCCCAAGCCTATCACATCAAGGTCGCGCTGGATTCCATTATGTTTGTCCGGTTACCTGAGCGCTTGTCATTTCTTGATATCATCAATGAAGAACAAAACATCGTAAGTTATTGCCCTCGCTACCTCGTTTGTAGAGACAATAATAGGCGAGACCCTGGTACTGAATCCACTGGCGCACCAAACTCCACCTCGACTGTGTCGGACAGGGATTTTCGCACTCTCACATCCAGCCAAACCTCGTGCAGGTATTTGTCCACCCGACCCAGGATTTGATCGCCAAAGCCATAGCCCTAAAGCTCGTGGAGGATAATTTGATGGTCGAAGCGATCTAACGCTGTCGGGAATTCCAGGTAAATGACAACGATCTCCGCTCCAATATCAACTGCTTCAATCCGCCTACTACGTGCAATTAACAGCTTGATGGTACACGAGCTATTTTGGCGGAAGGCATATTGCTCCGGATTTACCATCCTAGATTTTTCTACGTACTGCATCAGTGAATCTACGCTGATTGATTGCATACATTTAGAAAGAACAGAAATCAACGTCACGCGGCACTAATTAGCAGGATCACTACAATGATCGCCTTTGTGAATAGGAGTTGTGACCCACCGCTTCCATTTTAGTGGAATTTTCTTTGTCGCTGAACAATGCTGATAGAAAATGGCAAGTGGTTCTCCTAGATCACTGGCTGCTGCCTACAGAGCCTTCGGTCGAATATTATCGACTTCAATTTCATTGAATACACATAGATAACAGCTCCATCAACACGAATGATGTAATAAAGATCATATTAGATAAAACTGACGGTAGGGTAAAAGAAACAGGGAGGATATTTTGGATCCTTATCCCCTGAAACCCGTGCGACTAATGGAACCGCGAGATATCGGTTGCTTCCATTGCTGATCACATATACATATGAACGGCAACTGATGCTGAGGTTACTCACTGCACCTTAAGGTGATCATTAACGTCCTTGTATAAGTTTGCGGTTTGTGCATAATTGCTTCATAAAATCCTACTGACTGGTCACCTTGTCATCGCGGATTAATTTCATGCAAACTTTACACTGTGTTACGCATGTAGTCTAGGTTTTGGCACTCGGGCGATCCTTCTGAGCTTGTCATGTCAAATTTTATAAAAGCACGTATTTATGTGTTTCGCTACTCCGAAATTACTTCGTATTGTTTTGACGATTGAAACAGTTCTGATCCGGTGCGTGCACCATCAGTGTGTTGAACGTCATTTTGTACTTTTACATGGAGACTTCAGGAGTGTAATCTAACCAGAATGCCAAAGATGTTTCCCTAACCTGCGCGGATAACACGATGAGTTGGGTGATAGCATAGCCTTTAGTATCTTCTACTTCAGGAGAATCTGCACAGTACATACTTTGTACGCAAGTATTGGACCACCGTGTACGAAATACAAAGGTGCGTTGTCTTCATGTCTGTCTAACCTCGATACATATGTGGGTGTAACCTGATGGTGTTTGGTATAATTATGTGCGTGTGTGCATGCATATATATATATATATATATATATATATATATATATATATATATATATATATACATATACGTCAGTCTGTAAACATACAGCCCGTCATGGAAAAACCGTGAGAAAACAAGTAAAAAAGAGAACACAAATGTCAGGAATTACCAAAAAATATTCTAGCATTTTAAGCTATATCTGTCTCTTTTCACACACCATTTTGTTTTGCATTGTCAGTTTGACTTATATAACTCTATCCACATTGTTCATAAAAATTTAAACATAGAGTTCTCCATTTGTTTCCGGTTTCACGCCATATCATCAAGCGTGTCGAGCCATTGGTAGTCCTCTTCCTTCGGTCCCAACCAGGAAGACATAGAGGGCCGACGATTGCAAAGCACGAGGTCAGCGATTTCATAGTTTGCCGCCAGGTGGTTGGATGACCTCCACGCGTTCTCTTCCAATCCTATCCCGTGAAAGCAAATAAGCTGCGCGGACATAAGGGTTATCGACCAGGGGTGTCCAAACATTTTGCATTGAGGGCCACATTTTGAGAGGTAAAAATATGTCGTACATTATACAGTCTGACATGAGAATAACAAAAATTACACATACGAAGAATGTCCAAACCTGAATTTCTTATTTCATGCTGAGGCCGCTGGCCAGTTGTAATGATAATGTGGCCCACAAGCCGGACTTTAGATATCCCTGTTATAGACTCTCACCTTTAAAGAGAGGGATATATCCCGACGACGTCACAAATTACTCAGCTTGGTAAGTACCGATCTGGCTTTGGCGCTGCGAAGCGATACATCCTTCACCGTAGTGCCCTTAGCAGAAATATAGCTTCCGAGGTAGACAAAGTTGTCCACAAGCTCTAGCTGTGTTCCTCCAATGGCAATCGAGGAGGCGAACGACTCCCAGTCATGGAGTAACACTTGACAATCTAGGGTAGCAAAGCACACACCATACTCAGAAGCGTTAATCGTCAGACAATAAAAAGATCTATACACTCTGTGAATCGTCAGCGAGTAGAGCGATATCATCAGCATAATATAAGTCGGTCACGCGATTGCCAGGAAGAAGCTCAAAACTGAAATTGTTGGGATGTCTCTGGAGTTCTTAACGGGACGTTCTCAGTTGCAACCTTGAAGAGGTACGGAGACAAAGATATCCCTGTCGCACACCACTATTGCTGGCGACGCGTGAGGAAAGCTTGGCAAAGACCATCATTCTACCCGGCACTTGGTAGTAAAGTACCCGAAGTATGGAAGTATACTTTTCGGGGTTTCCCAACAGAATCGTTTCACTACCTTCTGACAGTTTGTTACCTTGTACTCCCGAACCACATCCACAGATTAGTAGCGCTAAACCACGTACACTATCCAATGTTTTGAGTTGGGATTGTTTCTGTACATTCGCCATGTCCGATCCCTCAAGACCATATATTTTCGGATTCGACTTCTCAGAGTAAGCAATGGTTTGAGGAGACGATGGAAAGCTTTTTGATTCTGACGCTCTCTTGACTAGTGCCGTGAAGGTTTTCCAGAATGTTTACCAGGCTAACTCTGGGGTGCACTCGAATGTGTATATCCAACTAGTGTTTTCAAAGAATGCAAGTAATGTGTGATCGATTGCATCCTTTCGGACTCTGCGTCGGGGATTTCGGCATAGCAACTGCATTCGCACAGCGGAGTCATGTATCGCTTCAACCTAAAGCGCTACACATTTATCTCATCAACCAAGAGTTCATCGCTGACCATCACCAGACCTAATATTGATGCTTTAGTCGCTGTTCTGTACTTAGTGTTGGTTATTAAGGGGCGCGTGCAAATACGCTCAATTTTCTAGATAAGGGATGTTGCAATCCCATGTAGGGAGAATATGGCTGTATTTCTTACTTTTTACCATACGAACTGCAGATATAATATCCTTCCGGGCCGGCGTTTCAAGTTCTTCCGTGTTTAACTATTACTATGGGTCGTAATAGACTATTAGGGCTGCAACACAAAATGGATACCTCACAGACGGCTGGATGATCAACCGCCTAGTAAGAGGGCGATTTAAGAGAAGCAGCTAAGGAAGCACGTAAAATGGTAGGAAAAATGCCGGAGAGGAATAAGAGGGTACTGCTAACAGGAAGCACAACTGATCGACCTCTTAACTTTTAGCGTGTTACCATGCCGCCTGTGGACCGGTTACAGATAATAGTCTGAGGTTCATTTCCGGAGTGGCATTTGACGGTCGTTAAACTACAGACACGAGGT